CACCTGCCCCTTCACCTCCTGGCTAGGAGGTGCAACCAAGGAGAGAATGTCCATGGGGCTTCCACCTCCCCAGGAGGGGCTCGCTCCCTCCCCAGGGAGGTGAGTGCCTTCTATAGGCTGCAGTGTCAGGGAGTTCACTGGGATTAGAGAAGATAATCTCACAGGATCCCTTTTTACCTCCCAGCTCACTGCCCAAAACTCGAGGTCACACCTTTGCACAGCTCAGTGGGTGGAGGAGAGCCTGAACCAACAAAGGCAGCTTGTCTAATAAGTGGGCATGGGGTGGTGGCCCTGGTTCCCGGAAGACCCAACCTCAACTGGCGGGGGAGCCTGGAAACAGCTTCACTGGCATGAGAAGAGCTGCCATGAAGACCCCTGGCCGGCCTTGCTCGCAGGTCTGCTGTGGGTTTGGTTGAGTTTTCTCAAGGACAGGGAAGCAGGTTTCTGTCCAATTGGCCCCAGGTTCTCACATTAGACGTCAGTGGGATCCAACAAAAGGCAATGGGGTGTGGGCTGTGGAGCTGCTATCTCATTTCCCAGCTCCACAGCCCACACCCCTGTTGCCTGGAAAGGCGCCCGCTTTTTGTACCCTAGCACAGCTGGGAGAGGGCTTGTTTTGAGTGGGCACGGAGTCTCTTCCCCTGGAAGGTGTAGCTGGAGGCCACGGGAGTTGTGGCTGGACCTCCTTGCCCAGAATCCCAGCTTGTGGAACACTTGTCATGGGGAGAGGGAAGAAGCGGGGTGGGTGGAGGAGTCTGCTGTCTGGCTCGGGGATTGCCTTCTTTGGGGTCATTATCAATATATCCCACAGAATGAATGATGATTTCGGGGTTGGGGGCCCTGAAGGAATAGAAGGGCTGTGAGGCAATAAAGCAGACTGGAAACCCACTCCCGACTCACACTCACGCCCCGCGGGACTGTTTGCAGAACTGGGAGGTCCGTGGAGCCCCCAAAAGAGTTTGGGAGACAATTGATCCAGGAAGCAGATGAAAGGGCGCGTTTTCTTTCATGATGGGGCTGGTTTCTGAAATTAAGTGTTGCAGGAAGACCTGGCACCGATTCTAACAGATAGGGCCCGGGTTGGAGGCAGAGCACATGTTTTTGAGCTCTGTCAGAGCTGCGCCGCCTTATCTCTTCATTGCACATAATGAGTGTGCCCGGAGCCCTGCCACTGCCACAGCGGGGCGGGCGGCGGCGCTGGAGCCTGGCCAAGCCCCAGCCACCGCCCGCCTGCCTAGGGGCTCTACAGTGCTCCCCATCCCCGCACCCTGCCTCACCGCTCCCCTTCAAGAGAGGAGCGGTGGGGATGGAAGGCTGGCCAACAGGCTCCAGCTAAGCGATACCACCATCACCACCCCACGCCCAGCCGCCCTCCAAGTGGAGTAGCTATTGTAAAATCAGCTTTACATCTATATCTAGTTTTTTAAAACCTGCTACCAAATTTCTTCCTGGGGTCTAGGATATGGGGGGCAGAACTAGGACACTGGATTATCTGAGGTAGGGGTGTCAAGCGGGAAAAGGAATTGCTGCAGGGAGATGGGTGCTGGGCAGGTAAGGAGTGGGGCTCTCGACTCCCCCTGGCCTTAGGCCCTGCGTTTTTTATTGTTGACTGGAGGACGACTAACTCCTATCTCAGGCCTCATGTCACTCGGTGGGGGCGACTTTCCCACTCTCGCACCACCAAGAATCCTACCATCTTCAGTAAGCCCAAGCACCAGTGTCCCACAAGGATTTCGGACAATGACAGTTGTAGCCTGGACCTGAGTGGCTGTTAGTGCTCAGTGATGGCTGCCACAAATCCAGGCAATCACTTCTAGGCCTTTTGGTTAAGATGAAATATAGGGAACCAAGCCAGGCACGAGCTCCAGGCTGGCGGCGACATGCCCCTCCTCTTCCCGCCGGTGTAGACCAAGAAAAAAGTGTTCTGAAACCAGACCTCCACGGTCATGGCTTTCCAACTCAATCATGGCACAACCGATGTCCCCCCAGAGGGTCTCACCGACATGTTTGATATGGTGTGGCCAGGATCCTGGGCTCCTGAACATATTGCTGTATAGGAGTTCTTTTTTATTTTTTTAAATCATTTTATTGGGGGGCTCATACAGCTCTTATCATAATCCATCCATCCATCCATTGTGTCAAGCACATTTGTACATCTGTTGCCATCATCATTCTCAAAACATTTGCTTTCTACCTGAGCCCTTGGTATCAGCTCCTCATGTTTCCCCCTCCCTCTCCCACCCTCACTCCCTCATGAACCCTTGATAATTTATCAATTTTTTTTCATGTCTTACA